ACTATTTCACATAAGGTAGAGTTCTCACTAAAAAAAAATATCTACTTGCCTTAGACAATTGTTAGAGTGGACTTTTCAACAATTAACTCAAAAATAAATTAGATTTTATGGTATTCGTTGTTTTGTAGTTTATTGGAATTGTTTGTGTGTGTGTGTGTTAATTTTTTTTAATTTTTTTTTCAAATTTTGTATCAATATGTTTGGTGTTGTTTCTGTTTAATATTTATTTATTTTAAAAATAATTTAAATGATTAAAATTTGTGATTCTGTTAAGAAAGGAATATTTTTAAAATCAATTTATTGATTAGAAATAGTTTTAAAAAATGTAGAAAGTTTATTATTATTTAGTTCAATGAAGCTTTAGATTTGATCTTTCATTTAAGAGATTGGATAATTAGCTTAAAATTGAATTGTTTAGTGTTTACTCAAAAAAATAATAATAATAATAAATAAAACTTCATTTATAGATTGATGAAATTTGAAAATTAAATAAAAATGAGTTAATTTGACCTTTCCACCCTCAAATGCACAACACCAATTGGTTTTCATAATTTTGACGTATATGATACTACTGCACGTATTACTGCACTTACGTAATTTGCTTTTTGTAAATAATGCTTTTCAATTTCATTATAGAAATTATAGAACAAACATGATACACAAAAATAGAGTTTAGTTCCCTTCAGTTTAGCATTATATCCTACGATGCTGGTGAACGCTGTCGGACATGAGATATTGGAAGAAATTAAACAGTATACACAAAATAAACCAATATGTAGTATTGGAAGAAATTAAACAGGATGCACAAAATTATCCAATATGTTTAGTTTTGCATTTTATAATACGAGTAATATCAATCAGTTTAATTTCTTCCAATTCTCGTATACCACATTACGCCCCTATAAACTAAGAAACCAGACTTTGGGTATCCATTGGAATTGGGTTACCAAAATTGGTAAAATTAGTTGTAAAAAAAATATAAAAAAGAACTTTAGATGTAAAGAGTTAGAATATTTAGTTTTGTATTATTTGCTATTCAATAAACTTCTATTGACAGATGTGCGGGAATCCCACATCGGTCTGTGAGGGACTACTTTCCCACCTTATAAGCAGGCTGGCTCCTCTTATCTGGCATAGGCCTTTTCCCCCACTGGGGGAGGAACAAAACCGTGAGGCGGGTTTCGCCAAAGCAGACAATATGTGCAAGGCATGGGGAGTAGTTGCTTCATTTGGCGCCGTCTGTGGGAACTCCCTTCAACATCTGGAGGTATTGCGCCGGTACCGGAGCCAGCGCGGCTGGGGGCTAATGTGCGGGGAATCCCACATCAATCTGTGAGGGACTACTTTCCCACCTTATAAGCAGGCTGGCTCCTCTTACCTTGCAGAGGCCTTTTCCCCCAGTGGGGGAGGAACAAAACCGTGAGGCGGGTTTCACCAAAGCGGACAATATGTGCAAGGCACGGGGAGTAGTTGCTTCATTTGGCGCCGTCTGTGGGAACTCCCTTCGACATCTGGAGGTATTACGCCGGTGCCGGAGCCAGCGTGGCTGGGGGCTAATGTGCAGGGAATCCCACATCGGTCTGTGAAGGACTACTTTCTCACCTTATAAGTAGGCTGGCTCCTCTTATCTTGCATAGGCCTTTTCCCCCAGTGGGGGAGGAACAAAACCGTGAGGCGGGTTTTGCCAAAGCGGACAATATGTGCAAGGCGCAGGGAGTAGTTTCTTCATTTAGCGCCGTCTGTGGGAACTTCCTTCGGCATCTGGAGGTATTGCGCTGGTGCCGGAGCCAGCGTGGCTGGGGGCTAATGTGCGGGGAATCCCACATCGGTCTGTGAGGGACTACTTTCCCACCTTATAAGTAGGCTGGCTCCTCTTACCTTGCATAGGCCTTTTCCCCCAGTGGGGGAGGAACAAAACCGTGAGGCGGGTTTCGCCAAAGCGGACAATATGTGCAAGGCACAGAAAGTAGTTGCTTCATTTAGCCCGGTCGAGCGGTCCAGCACTCCGTTACCTTGGTTTCTACACGAGTTTCGTAAACTCGTAACTTGCTCGGTTTCGGTGTTTTTTTGGGATCAAAAGAAGACCCGAAGCCCGATCCGCCTAAGATCTTCATGTGTTCATCACTGAAGTTGAAGAATAGTAACGAGAGCAGGGGTAGAAGAGGATTTTGGGGAACTATATCCTGAAACCTATAGTTTTTGTGCCCTAAAATGAGAAATACCAAATGAAAAAGCAATGAAGAGATTCAAAGAACTTACCAGAATGAGGCAAAAGTCGAATCTTCGAGCACAAACGTAGTCGAGAGCTGGAATGATACTGGGTAGTAGGGAGGGCACAGCAGCCTTGGTTCGTCTGGAACAAAGGTGAAACAGTAAGAAGAAAATGAAAGGGGGATGTGGCGTGTTTATAGGAGAAAAGAACCACCAAAATTTTGAATGTGAAGACACGTCTGGGTTGGCTGCTCGAGGCCAATAAATGATCGACGTGTGTCCCTATTAACGGTGGCGTTAGTATTGAAGAGACAGGAAGGCGAGTTGAGGCGTCAACCGAGCAAATCAAGAAACTGAGCGTATCGATTAGCACGGTTGACGTCTTGCGAACTAAGAACCGAGGGAGAGTCTACCCCGGTCGGATCATGTAATCCCAGTCACGCTTGCGCGGACGGAATTAAGGGGCAATTGAGAGGGAGATTTATAATCTGGCTTTGGGCCATGGTAGAAGCCGGACAAGATAGGGCCGAGCATGATTGGGTCGAGCTAACTTAGGCCTGTTCAGAGTGGGTTTTACTCGGTCGAGGCTCAGGCCCCGGGTTTAGGCCGAGCTAACTAGGGCTTCCCTAGAGTTGGTCTTGCTCGGTCGAGGCGCAAGCTTGAGGTCCAGGTCCCCTGTTTGGACTGAGCTTACTTGGCCGAGACGATCACCTGCCAACCCGGGTTCCATGGTTCGCACGTGTAGCTCGGCAGGGAAGGCCTTCTACTCACCGGTTCGACCTATCTTGAACTCGGCTCTGTCGGAATGCTACCGAGCTCGGCTGTTATGGAGCTCGACGAGTGGAGCACTCGGACTCGTTACACAGTATGGTCGTGGAAGGCCGAGGAGGATGCCACCGGGCTGCCGAGTTCCCGCTAATGTTGTGTGGCAGTTTGGTTAGGCGGTGTTCGCTGGATTTGTGCTGACAGATGGGAGAGCAGCTCCACATGTCAAGAGACTACTGGGTGCAGAGTTGAGCGCAGAAAGTATATATGTATGACTGCGCCCCCTCATGCTGAGGATGAAACATCATTTGGTAAGAAACACTTATTGTGCTATATCTCTCTCTCCTCCTCTCTCTTCCTGAGGGTGTGCTAACTTGACCGTCGGAGGGATTTTCCGGCAACACACTGCCGGGCAGCTCACTGCCGTTGTGTTCTTAGGTTGATCGGATAGACAAGGAGCTTGGACAAAAGGAGTACGGACGGGGACGAACATTTTCTCCTCGTACAATTGGCGTCGTCTGTGGGAAGAGTCAACAAACAAAACCTTGTCTTCCAAGCTCATCCGATCGCTTTCAATAGCGAACAACGACGAAATACCATTGTCTGCCATTGACGGTGTTACCCCAGAATCAGCCAGACGGAGAGACGGACTCCCCGCCGTTCAGAACATGGCGGACTTGGAAACTTCCCCGGGAGGACTTCCGAGAGATGCACGAGATAAGTGCTCCAGAAGTTTTGGTCGCTCACGGAGCCTAAAGGGACACCGGCGGTGAAGAGAATTGCATGCTTGACGTCTGGAGCACAAGTTGAAGGACTAAGACACCGTCATCTAGAGAATGGTGGCAGAGATGGAAGCTCTCAAACGCTAGGTCAAAGGGAAGGGTGTTGCTAGAGTGGGAGACCACAGTGAGCGCACCTAACCCCACCGTTCAGGCAATCAGAGCCAGCGGCGCACTCTCTCCCTTTCTATCACCAGAAGCTATAGGGGTGGAGACCTAGACACGCCTGTAGAGAAGTCTAGCGCGCAAGATAGCACCTACCATCCCTCATGTCCGGCGACCACTTCGGGATATTCTTACTCCGTCCGTTCAGAGGACTTGAGGGATGTCCTGAAAGAGCGAGCTCATCGACGGGAGGCCGGACGAGTGCTGGCATTCCAGCGGTTATCTTACGGAGGTCGCCATAGTGAGGAGGTTATGATGCCCCCGCCCCGTTTGGCCGTACCAGTTTTTTTGGACACCGACTTGGCAAAGCTAAACGCCTCCCCCTTCTCCTTTGAAATAGAGACCACGCCGCTCCCAGCGGGCTTTCACCAGCCGAAGTTTACACTTTATGACAGAAAAAGCGATCCGTACATGCATGTAAGCCACTTCCGGCAAGTCATGGCCGGACACAGGCGTAATGATGCTCTTATGTGCCTTATTTTCCCATCCAACTTGGGCGAACTGGGCTTGAAATGGTTTGAGAGACTCCCAGAAGAGAGCATTGAGAGGTGGCAACAGTTGGCAGAAGCATTCACAACTCGTTTCAAAACCAACACCAAAACGCCAAAGGAAGTGGAACACCTTCTAAGTGTCAAGATGAAGTCGAGCGACACCCTCAAGGCATACAACCCTAGATACTGGGAAACCTTCAACGAGATCCTAGATTGCCCGATGAACTTGGCAATCACTCAGTATAAGTGCGATCTCCCGGTCGGACATAGGCTGAGGGACTCGCTTACAATGAACCAGCCGACGTCCATGGGGCAACTAATATAGCGCATCAATGAGCACCTCAGAGTAGAGGATGATGCGACGGCATCCACCGTGAAGACAAATCCAGTGGTGCCAGACAAAAGGGTGGCTGGCAAGGTACACGCAGTCGGATAGAAGACTAACCGTCCAAATGATCGCACCAGGGAATTTGACCGTGGAACAAATCATCGAAACCGGGGTAGAGGTCGCCACAATGACCGAGCAGAACATCCCCGCGATGACGCAGCTAATGCCAACAGAAGGTTGAACACCCAGACGGGCATCACCATGGTATTTAAAATTCCAATCTATCGCATACTTAGTGAGATCCGTGACGAGGATTATGTCCAGTTTCCTGCTACGTTGGGTGATACGCAAAAGGGCTTCAATCCGCAGTACCACTGCACTTATCATAGGGAGCGAGGACACCGGACAGAGGACTGTTTACCTTTGAAACAACATTTGGAAGAGTTAGCCGCCACCGGTCACTTAGACCTTTACATTGATGGAGGCGTCAAAGCCGCGCATCCTGCCCCGGCCGATCCGAATGGTTTAGATAACTTAGAGGCGCCCCCTCAAGGAGTGGTCAATGTGATCCACGGCATAGTGGAACTGGCACGTGTGTGCGAGCTCCGAGGAATGATCAAAAAGGCAGAACAAATGAGAGAAGTTTTGTCAGTTCAGCCCGCAGTCAAAAAGGGCAAGACCGAGGAAAAAGACGTGATTAGTTTCTCAACAAGGGACCTAGAGCACATTCAAACGCCGCACAACGACGCCCTAGTAGTCACCCTCCGCGTTAGAGAGTTCGATGTCAAGCGCATCTTGATTAACTAGGGAAGCTCGGTTGAGATTATGTACTACGATGCGTTCAAGCAACTCAAACTCCGGGATACGGACTTGGCTCCGCAACTTCGCCACTGGTTGGTTTCAACTCGCAACCAGAGTGGCCTATGGGAAAGATTATTTTACCCGTCAAAGCCGGATCTGTGGTCAAGTAGATGGAGTTCTGGGTATTGAAGGTGCCGTCTACATACAATCTGATCCTCGGTAGGGGATGGCTTCACGCTATGCAAGTTATAGTGTCAACCTACCACCAGGTTATGAGATTCCCCTCGACTATGGGGGAGATTAAGGAAATTTTGGGCAATCAAGTCATGTTGAAGCAATACTTCGTAGCAGTAAACGGGAGCCAGGCTGCCAAAGGCTTTGTCCAAATGATAGAAGAATCGGAAGACCAGGGAGTCCTTGAAGATGTGGGCACCAAGGCCGAGGACAAGGCTGTTGAAGAATTGGTAGAAGTGTGGATCAGCACCGAAAGTCCAAAAAAATTCTTTTTGCTAGGCTCAAGCCTTACCGCCCAAGAAAGGACCGAGATGGTTGATTTCTTGATGTCGAATATCGAAGTCTTCGCCTGGACGCCGTACAACATGCTCGGCGTTGACCCAAGTTTTATTTGCCACCAACTCAATGTCTTCCCGGATGCACGCCCCGTCATTCAAAGAACAAAAAGATCGGCTCTTCATCATGCCGAAGTAGTCGCGAAGGAGGTAAGGAACTTGCTTGAAGCATGGGCTATTCAGGAAGTGCACTACCCTCGGTGGATTTCAAACACGGTCGTAGTACCCAAGAAGAATGGGAAGTGGCGAGTTTGCGTTGACTACAAGACTGTCAACCGAGCTTGCCCTAACAACTTTCCTCTGCCTAGAATAGACCAGCTGGGGATCTAACGCCTGCATAAAAGGCTCAGTTTCTGAATGCCTACCGCGGTTATCATTAGATTGCCATGCACGGCCCGACCGGCGAGATTACCTCTTTCACCACTCCAAGGAACTCTTCTGCTATCGAGCCATGCCTTTTGGTTTGAAGAACCTGGGGCAAACTTTCCAAAGGATGATGACCAAAATGTTCACCCCTCTGCTAGGCCGGACGATGGAGGCTTATATCGATGACATGGTGGTCAAAAGCAGGCATCAGGCAGACCACTTGTTCGACCTAGTCGGGATGTTCGCCATTCTCAAACAGCACAAGCTACTCCTGAATGCGTCAAAGTGTGCCTTTGGCGTGAGATTCAGGAAATTCCTGGGTTTTCTAGTCACAAACCAAGGCATCAAGGTAGACCCCACACAAATCAAAGCCATACAAGAATTGAAGCAGCCCAACTAGGCAAAGGACATGCAGCATCTAGCCGGAATGGCCGCCGCGCTTAACCGATTCGTAACCCGGTCATCAGATCGCTGCCGCCCTTTCTTTCGAGCCTTGAAATCCAAGTTTTCATGGGACGAGGAATGTGACAGGGCTTTGGCCGAGCTCAAGGCCTATTTGTCTTATGCTCCATTATTGGTGACACCCAAGCTCGTCGAAGAACTCTACCTCTATCTGGCAGTTTCACAACATGCAGTTAGCGCGGTGCTTGTCTAGTCAGAAGGTATCCAGCATTTGCCTATCTTTTATGTGAGCAAAACTTTGCTACCGGCCGAGTCGAGGTATTTGCCGCTAGAAAAACTTGCTTTGGCGTTGATGATGGCCTCCATGAAATTGGCGCACTACTTTCACGCTCACACAATCATTGTTTTGACCAAATTCCCTCTCAAAGCCTTGTTCGAGCGGACGGATTTCTCTGGTCAAATCCTGAAGTGGGCGGTCGAATTGGGTCAGTTTGACGTCAAATTTCAATCCCGAAGGGCCATAAAAGCACAAGCATTGGTCGATTTCGTTGTTGAATTCTCACCTGGAATTCACCAAGTATGCCTGGTGGATCTCAGCGCGGTAGCCGAGGAAGTGAGTGAAGGCTCAACGGAAATTGCACAACAGGGTAATGGTGGCAACGCGGAACTTGCACGCTTGACCATAGCACCTCTTGTCGGAATAGTAGAGCAGCCCGACAATGCGGCGACGGACTCGGGCACAACAAACCCACCTGTTGGGTCCAGTACCGCATCGCCGAGGGGGGATGAAATGGAACCGAACAACAGCGAACCTAAAACCGAACAGTCGAGTGCCCGTGATCCCATCAACCTTCAAGCCTCCCACGACCCCTCAGAGTGTTGGAAACTGTTCGTCGGTGAAATGTGAAAACTTTTTGTAGATGGAGCCTCACATCATCACAGCGCCGGGCTGGGCATAGTTTTGATCTCGCCAGATAGTCTGACTATAGAGCACTCTATCACCCTCGGATTCCCTGCGTCAAACAACGAGGCCGAGTACGAGGCGCTATTGGTCGGGCTTAAGAGCGCACTTCAATTGCGTGCATCCGAGCTGATGGTTTACAATGACTCCCAACTTGTTATCAACCAAGTGTTCAGGGTCTACGAAGCCAAAGACGACATAATGGCCAAGTATCAAGCTCTCGTAAGAGAACACATCAAGCAATTCCAGGCAATAAGGGTCTAACAAATTGGTAGGGAAGATAATGGCCGAGCGGATGAATTAGCCGGTCTCACTTCCATGGTCGATGGAACATCTCCCAGCCCTCTCCTAATTGAGTTTCTTCCAAGGCCTAGTATCAAGGAACTCGAGCAAACAGAAGTACTCTACACCGAGCTTGGCCCTCCTTGGATGAACCATATTATCCTCTTCCTGAAAGAACAGACCCTTTCGGCCGATAACAAGGAAGCACTTAAAGTCTGGGTGAAGTCAGAGCAGTTTTGGCTCTCTCCATCTGGCACTTTATACAAGAAGTCATACGCTGGTCCCTTACCTGAAGTGTGTACACCCAAACAACGTGGAAGCTTTCCTGTATGAAATTCATGAAGGCATATGCGGAAGTCACATTGGGGGAAGATCTTTGTCCTACCAAGCTATCTCGCAAGGATATTGGTGGCCATGCATGCAAGCGGACGCTCAAAAGTATGTTAGAAAATGTGAGAAGTGCTAGAATTTTGGCCACCAAATTTACCAGCCGGCCAGAGAACTTCTTCCCCTCACAAGCCCTTAGCCTTTTGTGATGTGGGGGCTAGACATAGTGGGACCACTGCCAACGGCGCTGGGCAACCGGAAGTTCTTCATTGCAGCTACGGACTACTTCACCAAATGGGTTGAAGTTGAGCCCTTAGCGACTATCAAGGAGAAAGGCGTCAAACGGTTTGTCTGGCAGAATGTGGTAACATGGTTTGGCATCCCCAAGATTCTGATTTCCGATAATGGCACCCAATTTGACGGCCGCTTATTCAGAGGATTTTGTGAGGAATTGAAGATCGAATTCTACAACTCCACCCCGGCTTACCCGCAGTCCAACGGCCAAGCCGAAGCATCAAACAAGACCATTCTTGATGGGTTGAAGAAAATACTAGAGAAAGCCAAAGGAAAATGGGCCGAGGAACTCCGAAGTGTCCTTTGGGCATATCGGACGACCCCGAGGCGATCTACTAAGGAAACTCCATTGGCATGGAGGCGGTCATCCCATTGGAAATCGGCATGCCCACCATCCGCAGTGAAAATTTTGAGCTTGAGTTGAACTCTGAAGCAGTCGCCTTGGAATTGAACCTGGCTTATGAGCGCCACAAAAAAACTTTGATCCACGTGGCCGCATACCAACAAGAGCTGTCCAGAAAATACAACAAAATGGTGCACCCCAGACCGTTCAAAGTCGAGGATTGGGTTTTAAGAAAGGTGATGGGCAACACACTGGTGCCGGGCGAAAGCAAGCTAGGGGCAAACTGGGAAGGGCCTTACAGGATAACTGGTCTGGCGGGCAATGGGGCATACCACTTGGAAGATTTTGAAGGAAAAGGCATACCCCGGCCATGGAATGCGGCTAACCTCAAACTGTACTATTTTTAATATTTGACGTTCTTATGTAATTTTTTATGTGGAAGGACTTGCTCTCCCTGTACTTTTGAATGTAATACCCTTTTTGTCAATATAATAGAAATGACTTATCTTCGCTGAAGTTTTACTCCGATTGAATGAGTTGATGATTTACTCAACTTTGTGATCTCAATCGAAATCTTTTACTCCGGTTGAATGAGTTGATGATTTATTCTACTCTTTGGTTTCAACCGAGATGTTTTACTCCGGTTGAATGAGTTGATGATTTACTCAACTCCGTGGTTTTAACTGAGATATTGTACTTCGGTTGAATGAGTTGATGATTTACTCTACTCTTTAGTTTCAACCGAGATGCTTTACTCCGGTTGAATAAGTTGATGATTTACTCAACTCCGTGGTTTCAACCGAGATGTTTTACTCCGGTTAAATGAGTTGATGATTTACTTTACTCTTTGGTTTCAACCGAGATATTTTACTCCGGTTGAATAAGTTGATGATTTACTCAACTCCGTGGTTTCAACAGAGATGTTGTACTCCGGTTGAATGAGTTGATGATTTACTCTATTCTTTGGTTTCAACCGAGATGCTTTACTTCGGTTGAATGAGTTGATGATTTACTCAATTCCGTGGTTTCAACCAAAATATTTTACTTCGGTTGAATGAGTTGATGATTTACTCAACTCCGTGGTTTCAACCGAGATGTTTTACTCCGGTTGAATGAGTTGATGATTTACTCTACTCTTTGGTTTCAACCGAACTTTGGTTGAATGAGTTGATGATTTATTCAACTCTTTGGTTTCAACCGAGATGCTTTACTCCGGTTGAATGAGTTGATGATTTACTCAACTCCGTGGTTTCAACCGAGATGTTTTACTCCGGTTGAATGAGTTGATTTACTCAGGCTTTAGCTGAGATGCTTTGTCCCGGAAAAATTGGTCGGTGATTTGCCCAACTCAAAAGAATTAGCCGAGGTGATTTACCCCGGCTAAAGTAGTTGACGTTTTGTTTAAAAGTTCCTGCCGAGTTGATGAAACATAGTCCAACAAGCAGTGCAACATTTAGCGAAA